TCTTTCCTGTCCTTTTCATCTGTCCCTCCAGCGCTGCTGCGGGTCTCCGATCCAGCGCTGGCTCCTCTGTCCTTGCTGGCACTTCCTGTCCCACAGTGTCTGCATGTGGGTGCACGCCGTCCATAGACTTACCTTGTGTTTCTCCTCGTCTCCTGGCCGATAATTTTCACATTTTTGGACAGGAGCGGGCGGGGAAGACACAGGTAAGTATTGACCTCTGTTAAAGCGTTTTTTTTTTTTTAAATTTTTTTGCATATATCTACTGCTTGCTAGCAATCTACTGCTAGCAAGCAGTAGACTACTGCTACTGCTAGCAGTAGATATATGCAAAAAAAACCCAGAGGCTTTAATTATACTTTAAGGAAGAGATTTTATAAAAAATATGACATTTTATTTTTATATTTCCACTATAGGACCAAATGCATATAGAACTTGGTTCCTTCTGGATCACTGGCCCCATTGCAGAATAAAAACACCTCTTTATTTATATTGATGCAGGCTGTAGCTCGACCCCAGTCTGAAGTCTGGAGTGCGTTCCTATGGGGTGAGGTACACCCTAGCTCGAGAGATAGTTTACTATGATGACTGAACAATCAGTACTACAGGGCTGCCAGCTGCTAGCAAACATACAGGGCAGTGACAGCTCTATCACACAGCCCCACCGTCATTGAGCATTAATTCATAAAAGATCACTCACCACTGCAGGGCTATGTGATCTATCAGCATGATCTATCACACTAGCAGCGTGGTTGGACACAGGTGATTAAACTGTCTGACCACACTGCTTGGCAACAGGACGAACTTGAATGGGACCAAGTGCTATATGTACTTGGTCTCCTAGTGGCTATTGTATTGTGACAGTCAGCAGCTGCGGCTGCCAGAATACCAGAATAGTGACTACAGATGATTCTGCCTGACTCCTTAAGTTTTTCATTTGACGATTGAGAACTGAAGTGCTGGCAGGGCCACCCATGGTGAGAATTTCAGCCAATTTACAGGAATTGACCGAAATTCTAACAGTGAATGGGCAGCTTTAGAATACCATATAAAACATAGCACTTAAGAAAGAAATGTTAAATACTAAGAAAGTTTTGCAAAAAATCAATATTACATAGAGTTCTACCACCACCACCACATACATTTTTTTGCCCATAGTTAAAGCACGATTAAAACAGTAATACTACCAACACAATATAATTTACAGCAGTCTATTGTATGAATCAAAACCGCTTCCAGTGACAAATCACCTGGTAAAATTTTTCTAAGAAGTAATAGCAATACATGGGTCATGATCTTAAACCCTTAGGGCATTGCTACTGCCTGATAATTTGGCCTGTTGTACTGACCGAAGCATCACTATTGCTTCATGGAATTAATGAATCTTCCAATTCAAATGTTGCTGCAACTTTTTTATTCTTATGTATGATTGGGGGAGTCTTAAAGCCCATTTTATTGCATGCACACAAAGACCCACCATAGACGGGTAGATATCTGAACCAGCGCTGGGACCTGCAGCCATCCTTGCCTGTCGCTGACAGTGGCGTACAACCAGTTCATCTAATCCATCACTCTACTCCATAGAAGAATTAGGGATCAGAAGCCCTTCAACTGTCCTCTAGCACAGCAGGAGTTGCACAGTAGTCGCAAGAGAGTAAAAAAATCTGGAGTGTTGCTTGCTTTTATTATATAAACAAGGTAGGTTTGGTAACCTTAATTAATACCCATCATAAATATAACTTTCTTTAATGGAGTTCAGCAAAAAAATTCCCTTGCCTTCTCTCCTTTTTTATTTTTTTTTAAATATTTATTTCATTTGTTTCCTTCATACTATTTATGTACTGTTGCTCTTTTACACTCATGTTATCTTTTATCTGCCACTTGTGGTTGCCAGCTCTTGTTTGGCTTTTGTTATCTCTTGTTGCAACCCTTCCCTGTGTGTGTGTACATCCTTGAGATGGATAGGATCTCTGAGCTATTGGGGAAAACACACGTCCTAGAATAACCTGTTAGCTAGAGGTTGGCAGAGCCTTTTGTAATTTTTTTTAATGTTGGCAGAACCTGCTTGAGATCGGATATGCTCTCTGTTGGTAATACACTCCACAAAATGCAGTGAAGTAATATATAACACACAAGCGTAATGTATTATTGGAAAATTTGGACACTGGATATTCTTATGCTTTCAACCAAATCTAAGCTTAAATATAGGACTGAAAGGGTTATATAGGACAGAATATAGGACAGAAAGGGTTTTTGGACCACTGGCTCTAGCGGCCATTTTGAGGAAGCTAGTGTCTCAGTGTAAAGCGCGTTAACTAGAACAGTGCAGGAAGTCTTAAAAGAGTGATTCAAATGGGTACCACTAGAGGGAATCTCTGAGGATTAAACATCAGTCAGTGGCCATGTTGCAGTGCTTTTTACAACACAGGACAAGTGGTAATTTTTACCATACGTAGGTGCCCTCTGTTAAGAGCATGCAACCCATGACTAAACTATACTTTGTAGTCTAAGAAGAAATGGACATATTTTTAAAAATTGGAAGTCTTGATATGCCTGTGTATGGGGGATGAAACTGAAGAGGCAAGTGATATGTGGCTGAGGATGTGAGCGTGTCACTAGAATTTAAAGTGAGGGGAAAACGCTAATGGGAACACAGCATTAAAAAGGTGATGCCTGGTACATAAAGCCGATGCTTGCGCATCGGTGTTGATTTCGTATAGACCGACGCCCGGGACATATAGTTCCGGGCGCCGGGCAAGCGAGAGCAGGGGGTGTGGAGCGGTGACGGCGGGGGGCATAGAGCAGTGACAGGGCAGGGGGCGTGGAGCGGTGACGGAGCTGGACACATGGACATGTGACAGGCTCTGTCACCTCCCTCAGCCTCTGTCCCCGGCTCGTTCTTGTCACAGGAGTTCTAGCACAATGCTGTGCTGTGCTAGAACTCCTGTCTTGGAGGTGACAGGGCCAATAAAGAGTACCAGTCACCTCCAAATGCTATCACACAGGGGTTTGTTAGCCCATGTGTGATAGCAATAAAGTTAAGTGAAAAAAATAGTTAGGAAAAGTAAAAAATAATAAAATAAAGTTAAAAAAATAACAACTGATTAAAAATGTAACTAAATAAAAAATAAAGACAATAAAGTAAAATAATAAAATAAATGAAAATTAAAAATGTTTACAAAGTAAATAAAAATTGAAAAAAATGAAAACCAGCATTGTTGCCCCCATCATCTGCATTAGAATAAACGCACAGTGTTTTCAACCGCAATCGCGTGCAAGCGCACGGGCAGGGTGGTATTGCGGTGGGAAACCGCACAATCTGCCTGACACGACTGGGGTGCCATAAGAAAATAATGGCACTGCTAGCGCGATCGGCGGTGGTGTGCAATCATTGACCGCCCGGTCATCGTGCACAAAACCGAGCAGATGGCTGGGCGGTCACGGAATCGCACACCACCGCCGATTGCGCTGGCAGTGGCATTATTTTCTAATGCCACTCCATTCGCGCCAGGCAGATTGCGCGGTTTCCCGCCGCAATACCGCCTGGGCGGTCCCACACGATCGCGATTGAAAACATGAATTCTAAAACGGTCCTAAATTAAAGTTCTTCATAATCATAAACAAATTGGCCTAAAATCATTAGTCTATTGTTTTTTTTTTAAATGTCACCTGTCCCTTTAAGAAAAAGTATCGGTAATTGGTATCGGCAAGTACATGAGGGGAAGTACTTGTACTTGGTCTTTAAAAAGGGGTATTGGGACATCCCTAGTTATTACCTAAAATGTGACTATTTATCTTGAAAATACAGATTTAAAATAAAACAACTAATGGAGGTTCTAACCATTCCCCTGCTTTGCTAAAAAGGTGTTTTTTTTTAATTATTATTTCTGCTCCCTTTCTCCTTATTTCCTATTCCAGAGACGCTCAGACAGCAATAAAAAATGGACAGAATTTTAACCCTTCCCCGCTCTATCGAAAGCATTAAAAAGGTTTTGATTACAGTTCCACTTTAATGTCAGGAAGGGGTACTACCACAAAGTGGTGATGCAAAAGACTCATGAGGGCCAGGCAGATACTGTATCATTTGCAGGATAAGAAGTCATCAATAGCAATCTTCATATTTCTATATAAAAACACTATAGTCTTCGTGTGATTTACTTAAGTAATTAACAATAAAGCAAGTAAAGTAATTTGGACTGAAAACATGAAATTGCTTAAAGTCTATTTCTAAAAATATCTAAACACATCATCTAAAATATAGGAAATTTATTTTTAAAAATTATTTTTTGGCATGCTGTATGAAGGGGAACATACACTGAGTGGCCAGTTTATTATGACCACCTGACGTTTGTAGGCAAATTAGCCATAATTTCGCGCTGACGTTGCTAGAGGGCCAGACCATTATTAATAGGGAAGCAGGTTATACCACGACAGTAGAAGTGATTTTTTTCTGAAGATATGGGTAAACAACGTGATTTAACAGCCTTTAAACGTGGGATGATTGTTGGCCGAGCGCCAACAATCATCCCACGTTCAAAGGCCATGGAGCGAGTATCAGCAAAACAGCAGAATTCGTTAAATGTTCAAGAGCAGCTGTTGTTAAAGTGTTTAAAGACTGGACTGTCAGCCAAAAATCTGGGTGCGAATTGTGGCCGTCAGTGACTAGTCAATGTTAGGGCAGAACGGAGAGTGGCAAGACTGGTACAAGACAACAGGAGGGCAACAGTGCAGTGTCAGATTCCTCGCATCACCTTTCAACATCTCGTGGAGTCACGAGGCGGCCCAACGAAGTCATCTCGTGGCCCAACGAAGTACTGATGGGGTGGTCATAATATTCTGGCCACTCAGTGTATAACTCATATAAAGGGATTTTCTCAAATTTGACTGCAAAAGTGGAAATACACTTTAAAGCACATATTGTCAATAAACATATACTGTTTTTTTCCTGAGTGTTGGTAGTAGATGTGTACATGTGTTCATTTGCTGATATTTTGTATTTCCAGTGACATTGGAGCAGTTTGCCTTGGCTGTGGAGTCTTGTCCTGTGCCAGCGGACCAGCATTTACTAATGGAGGTATAGTGGAATTCCCCTCATAATCCACAGCTGCATCTGTTTACAGTTTATTTCACTTTTGTGTCCTGTGACAAAAACCATTTAACCCTCAGAGCTCTTGTCATGAACAGGAAACACTGTTCTTCAGTGAACATTTTGTTCTATATTTGTGTGGGATCATCTCCTTTAGCTTGATTAGCTAATTTTCAAGAAAAGAGTTTTGCTATTGTCACTGCAATTTGCAGTGACAGGTACTCTTTATTGAGACATTAGGGGTCTTTAAAACCCCTAATGTCACCTTGGGACCCCCAGAGAAGCTGATGAAGCAGGGACCTGCTTCATCAGCTTCTCTCCGGTTTCTGTACCGGAGATTGACACTGAATGCAGGCAGTGATGTAATACACATCACTGCCTGCATTCCAAAGAAGAGGAGGAGATAAAACGGAGCTCGTGTACTGAGCTCCGTTTGATCTCCGGCCACAGAGCTGCTGTGCTGGTCCCGGGCACAGAGGAGCTTGGGATCGCCAGCAGCAACGGAGGGGGGCGCACACCCGACCGCATGTTACAAGCGATCGGGGGTCTCTACAGGCGCCCGAACGCTTGTATGTAAACAGCCATCGCTGGCTGTTTACATTCAAAGCCGGTTTCCCGGCAGCGGGCACGAGCGGGACGGGATGGGACGTCTAAACACGCCCACCCGCTCTCAAGAAGCCGCTTTCCGGCCGTTTAATTACAACGGCCGGAGAGCAGGTGGTTAAAGTGGACATTACAGTAACTTCACAACTTTACAGGTTTTCTTTTTAAGGAATCCATTTTATTGTACGATGGGCTTTCCAAAGATCCTGGGTATGTGGATGTGAAAGCATGCAATAAACCAAATATCCTTCACCAGGAATGGGTCAGCAAGTCTACAAAATGTTGAGCCCATCTCACCTACCACCACAAACACAAAAAATGTCTGTCACTATTATTATAGACTGTTGTTCGGCACTTGAGGGTTCTAAGTACCGCCCCATGAGTATTTCCAGGCCAGCTCTGCTGTAATAATATTTATACGGCAGCTAATAATTGAGCACCACAAGTCTGAATAGTTTTGTAATCTTCATCTGCTGAGAAGTGTTGGTATGGAAAAAGTAATAGAAAAAAATAATATATAAGTACAAGTTAGGTTTCATAATCGGGGGGAAGAAATAACTAGCTGCTACCTTCATTAGAGGGAAATGTGGAGATACTGCACTACTGTAACATTTGGTATTACCCTGTAAATGAAGGCAGTGCAATATAAAGACATATCAAGGTTGGCCAAGCATTTTGAGGATGCCAAATTAGTCAAATACTAAGAATGTTATTAAGATGAGCTCTCCTTTTTGACTTGGGAAGGTAAGGTTAGCTGATGTACTAGTAGTAGGTGGGCTAGCAGTAGGTATTAAAAGCTGGTATGATCTAGCACACCAATGGTTGGTGCGGGGGCTCACCATAACAATAGCGAAGAGATAGCAAGACTTGCTTAGAAACTACTCTTAGTAGTGGGGGACAAGATAAAAATCCACTGCCCGGCCCCCCTTTTTGTGCTGCTCGTGGTGTTGGCCAGCAAGATTTTCTGGTCATCATTGCTAAGATAGACAATAAGATAAAATCTCCCCATACAAAATATAAGTGCACTTCAGATGCAACCTTTTGGGAATAGACTGTGGTGGTCTGACCAGTTCTGTGCAATGCTCACATCTGCACCTTTTATGCTGTCCAGTGTATGTGAATATACTAGGCCCCAATTACAGACTCACTAAGTACTGAAACTATGACCAAAGTGATAACCCCTAAACCTGGTAAACCTTTACTATTAAAAACAAATAAGCAATGGTAGTTCCCATGTTTCTGTCCCCACAGATTTCCTTTAAAGGGTAATGAAGTGTTTAGTGCTCTAATCCATCCAGAGCCCATTTTCCAAAGGCAGACATTTTCCTAATAGTATATACATTCCTTAACCACTAAGCTCTGATGATCTTCACTTTGTACCTTCTGGTACTACACAACTTTTTCATTAAAAGCTAGCCAGGTGACTATTTTGCCTCCTGCATCAACAAACGTCATGCCTCTGCAGTGGGAGCATACAAACATATGCAGGGTTATTCACAAAAGGGTGAAGAGTTTGGAGAAGGCAGGAGAAGAGAACAATCTAGGAAACATAACTGACCTGGAAAGTGAGCTGAATTGGAGGATTCTTTCAAATCGACTACTTTGGCCTAGATTGTTCACTTCTTCTGCCTTCTCCAACCTCTTCACCCTTTTGTGAATAACCCTGTAATTCCTGGGTTTGCACACCCTATGTGGCCATTAAAAGATGTTCCCTTCATCTTGCTGAATTTTTCATTTATTTTATATTATGGAGAATACAGCAAGACTGTCGGAAACATAGAAATCTTGCACACATGAACGCACACATCTCCCAGGTTGACAGAAACAGAGTTTTAATTATGTCAGAGAGATTTCTTTGTTGGAGAATCCAGGACACCCTAATTTAAAATATCACTTTTGGATGGGTTGGCTTTTTAAAGCTGAACTCCGGGCAGATATTTAAAAGCACCAATGCAGCTGAGTATTTAAAAAGTAAATATTACATGTATATTAACAGCATACTAAATACCTGAACTTGACTTGATTGATTCAGTTGTAGGGGCAGGGTAGGTGCACTCAGGTGTGCTGCATGCACATATGCTAACAAGAGAAAAGGACAGGAAGATGAGCTCATCAGTCTGCTTCTGCTCCTTTACTGTCTAGTTGCAACCTAGCTAAATTGCAAACCTGCCAAAGAGAATTGTCAGGTCACCAGACTGGCTGCGGTGTGTAGTATGCCTTTAGCAGGGCTAAAGCAAATCTATGGATTGGATAGCCAGAAATACAGACCCTTTGGCAGGTAAGAGTTCCCATATGAGTATTTCGGTTCTGTATTTAGCAGTTTGGTTCAGCTTTAAATCCACTGTGGTTTTAGTTCTTCATACTCAAAATAACTGAAGACAACCCACTCATGTATTAAGTAATCACACTGACAGGTTTAAGTGGGTTGTCTTCAAATGATCACAAGATCTGTTACATTTACCTTTTAGTCCATGCCCAGATAGAAACTCTGGCTTCTGTATACATGTCACAATGCACGATCAACGTGGTCTGTATATATTTCATGATATTTGTGAATATTTTTATACTTTTTAGCAGAGCATCTGCTATTGGTGATTGTAGCATCTTAGACCAGGCGTGGAACCAAAGGTCCAGGCAATGCCAAGCAGTGTCAAAGAGGCTGGGCCATAAGTTCCCAGCTATTCTGTATATCATTTTCATAGAGCCTAATAAAATCAAACATGTCTAGACATGCTAGAATGAATGTGTATACCTCAAATTAGTTCATAACAGAAAATGATCAGAAGCTGAGCACATGAGAAAAGTGCCGACTTGCACATGGAAAAGAATTATGCATAGGTGCAAATTATTACCGATGATTAGAGCAGAGGGAATGGACAGAGAAATACAGAATAGAGCAGAAGAGGTCTGGAGACAGAGGTAGAACAGCAGAAGGGATTGGAGCAAATCAGAGAAGATGTCAGAGACCTTATGTACGAGGGTGAATCAAATTGAGACCTTTAGCAATCCTTGTGAGATTGACAAAAAAAAAGATTCGGAAACCACTTGTGATATTTGAAGAAGAACTTCAGGAAATGTAAAAATTAACCCTTGCAGTGGGTCTACCCCTGCACTGCAAGGGTTAACTGCTCGTTCTGGTCTTGGGGCAAAAAAAAAGAAAATATACTCACCTGATGCTCAGTCCTGCAGCAGTGACCACTCTCTCCCCCACCACTCTGGCAGGGAATGTCCCTCGGCATCCTCACATCTAATGCAGCTGCATTAGGCAGGATGATGTCACGGGTACTTAGACTGCCAGCGCCCGGCAGAGAAGAGGACTGGGTCCAGTCTAGCAGCCAAGTAGGACAGAGGATGTGGTGATCATATCTTCTTTATACCTTCTCTTTCTCTACTAGACCAAGGGTTACACTTTATATTTCCCGGAGTTCTTCAAGTAGTAAGTAGTTTAAGTAACCATATTCTAAAGTCTGTTTTCAGTCATCATTAAAATATTTGTATATTTACATGAAATTGGAATTCTATCCAAAACTTTCCTTTTAGTTTGTAACATGTGTTAGGCTTTAAAGAGTTTGTAAACCCTAACAATGAACTTCTCCTATGTGGTGCCTTTTGGTGTAGAAAATATACCAAAGTGTTTTGTTATATCTGTTCGATAAGTGTAAAAAATACCTGTTTATGCTGCCAGAAATCTTGTCATCTGATACCTTTCTTTGCTCCCTGCCTTTGCTGCATCCTTTTTTTTGTTCCAGTGTTTTCCCAGCTATCTCTCAGCACTACAAATCCCCTCTGAGCAGATGGGAGGAGTTTGTCAGGAATTGTGTTCCTGGCAGAATTACCAGGTACAAATAAATGAAAAGAGAAGTGCAAACCAGAAAACTAATGCAGTCAACACTTATAAGTAATGGGAAGATGCCACTGCCATAGCTTAATAGTGGGAGGAGAGACCTGTTTCCACAAGGCCGGGATACATGCTCTGGCCGCATTAACAAGGACCGTTTGTAGCTCCGCACCGAGCCGGCGGTCTGCGGTCTCTGAGCGATGGAGCGTGGCCTAAGCGGAAATGGGTCTGTTGTAAGAAGCCAATATGAGCTCGCTGTCTATGCAGGTCGTGCAGCACCATGGCCCGTTTCTCGGGGATGTTCAAACCCCGCACATTGTGAGAGATAAGGCGGAACGGGGGCATCCCTAGGCTGGATCTGCAGAGGTCTGGTAATACCTTCAGAGAGGGGCAAGAAAGGGAAGGGGGAGAAGAAAAGAATGAAAAGTAAGAAGTAGTGGGGTGGGCAGAGGAGGGGCAAGAGGGGGAGAGGGAAAGGAAGGTGGATAGAGGGTAGGGACCGAGAGGGGAGAAGTGGATATAGGGCGGAGGGAGATGGGGAAGGAAA